ATCTATCTATCTATCTATCTATCTATCTATCTATCTATCTATCTATCATCTATCTATCTATCTATCTATCTATCTATCTATATGAATAGACTTGTGCACAACAGAAGCGCGGAAGTCTCATTTGTTGGTTCATTTTGTTTCTGTCAATTGTTAAATGTACATTTTTTTTTAAAAATAATATATATATATACATGTATATATGCTATACCCTCGAAACATCTACCATGTTTGCAGGCTGCATGCAAGTCTAAGCATATATATATATATTACATGCAGACTTCGCAGGTTCCTTGTTGAATAGTCTGCTCTATTAGTAGTTGGCTCCTTATCTTTGTATTCAACTTACATCATGCTTATCAACTAGTTAACAAAGTAGCACTTGGGATTTTGAATCTCTGACACGAAATGAGGTTGCCAAGCAAGATAGACCCATACAAAAGCTTTATGCGCATGGCAGAATACTCCAAAGGAGTTTTTTGCTTAAAGTCCTTTTGGCTGGACATGACATTCATTATCTTTGTGAATAAGTGAGCAATTGTTTCGAACAGATTTCTGGCAGTTATGCAGGTGTCATCCACAAAGGTGACTTCAATTTTGCAAGGAAAGGCCTTCTGCAGAGGGAATGGCTGTATTGAAAAAACACATTGTAGCTTTGGCAAATTCGGGTTTGCTGCTTGATTGATTTAGGGATGAACTTGAACAAAATTCAATGTCAAGTTGTTTGATAGCAAGGGAATATATTCTAAAGATTGTATTGACAATTGATGAAGTTGATACTTGGAAACACACATTTGCTATCATTTGCTTAATCATTGCTGATCATACATTCGCTTCTTTCACAAAAGCTATGGTTGGTGATGTTGTCATAGGGTTGTCTATCGTGGGAATGAAAAGGTGTCACCTGCCCTTTTGATCCAAGGCTTTTGGCATCAATATCAAAAGCGGTCATGTCTGGCTCGCCACCGCTCTCTACTCTACATGTGAGCCACGGTTACATGTACAAATGATAGAAAATAGCAAACCAAATCATACACACCAAACCCTACACTAAAGCAGCTTCAAATCACTCATACCATACGTATATATACATATATATGTATATACACATGGTACCCCCTTTCCATAGAGGTCCACAACGATGATACCTGGTTTACCTAAGACTTAGTTTGGAAAGGGTAAGAACTAAGAGATCCTAGGACCTCCCTGGAACCAAGAACCAAGAGCCAAGATTCCCTCAAAACTTCCTGTGCAATGTTTGTTCTTGGTTCTTGGTTCTAAGGACCTCACTAATACCTGAGACCTACATTGTCTCAAGGTCCCTGCACGTGTGTGTATATACATACACTAATATAGATATAGATATGCATATACATGATTTGTTATTAGAAACTCTTCTCAATTTTGGATGATGTCCCCAAGCCTTCGCTTTGAAGAGTCCTGAAGACACTTCAAAACGGTAAATCATTTTGGGGGTGTCTATATATATATATATACATATACGTAATGTAATGCAATGTGATACGATGTAGTGTAAAGTGTAGTGTAGTGTAATGAGTGTAGTGCAGTGTAGCGTAGCGTACTGTGATGTATAGATGTGATTTGAGTCAAACTTTGGAATCATTGCAGTCTTCGAAAACACCATTCCCTTTTTCCTGACCGATCACTGATCACTCACCAGGATGAAGTAAGCTTCAATTCAGCGCTTTCAGCTTGTGCTGGTGCTGTGCAGTGGCAATCGTCCTGGGCTCTGCTTGGCCAAATGACTGTTCATGCTGTGGAACCAAGCGGTGTCAGCCGAACCATGGCGCTCAGCGTGGACAAATTCAATTGGGCATTGGCTTTGGTGGGGCTTTGTGACATTAAGACCAACGAGATGTCACAAAACTGCATCAATTTTAATGCGGCGATCAGCTCCTGCGAAAAGTCAGGACGATGGGCCTTTGCTTTGCATTTGATGGACTTCCTGCGAAAAGGACAGCTGAAAACCTCAGTAACTTCTGGCCCAGATGTCATCACGCTGAGTACGGTGCTTTCCGCGTGTGAGAAAAGTGGGCAGTGGCATGTGGCTTTGCTTTTGTTGAGCCAGACAGAATTCGAGGTTAGCGAGATTAGCTTCAATGCAGCAATCAGTGCCTGTGAAAAGCTGCAAAGGTGGCAGCTTAGTGCCGACCTTTTGCGCAGAATCTTCGATTTGCGCTTACAAGCCACTGAGATTTCATACAATGCGGTGATAAGTGCATGCCACAGAGCACAGGAGATGCATATGCGGCAGTTGAGTCAAGAACTTTTGACTGTATAAAGCACAGCAGCTGAGGCAGTTGAGCATGAGTGCACTTTTCTATTGTTCCTTGCAACTGTCGAATGCCAATGATGCCAACTTTTTGCGCAGCAGTTGTTATACCTTGATGCCAACTAATTAGCTCGGCTGCTGTTGCAGAATTTCATGCAGCCCTGTTCTTGCTTCATCGCACAACTACTTTGCGTGCATCAAGAAAATAACACATGTCATATCAGGTCATTTTGCCCAATTGAGTTTTTCAAACATTCAATTTGGTCCACCTCAGTAAGACAGCCCACAACGCTGGCAGCTAGACATTTTATGTCACTTTCGTGGAAAGATCTGCGTGTCACCTTCAACAGCTAGAGTTGTCCCATTACCTAAGGCCGAAAGCACTCCAGAGTGGTTTTCCCTCTAAGACCTAAGATCTGCAATTCAGACGTGGGTGAAAGTAACAGGTTTTGACTTGGTGATTTGCCCAGGTTCGACGCTACCAGGATGGACCGTCGGGTTTGAAGCCAGACAATCCCATAGTTGTGCGTTGGGTTTGTGCTTGATATGCTGCTTGGTCTCCTGGCACCACATCTGGAAATTTCTCATGCAATCCTTCTTTAGGTGGTGTTTGGTAAGAGGCTCATGTCAGTATTTTTACCAAAAGCATGAACGCCGGTAGTTAAGTGAGGATGAGAGTCGCGGTGTCACTGTGCTGATGCTACTTTTTGAATCTTGGCGCGGAGAGGTGATGTCCTCAGAGCAACGCTTATCAGTCACCGAGTCGTGCCACAACTTGTTGTCACAGAGTCATATCGGAGAACAAAGTCCTATTCCGCAACCCTCCATTTTTAGTTTTTTTCCGCAACTATTCTTCAGAAACTATCTTGTGCTCTTCAGAAACTATTTCGTGATCTTGAGGAACTATTTAGCGATCTTCAGAAACTATTTGGCGATTTTCAGAAACTATTTGGCGATCTTCAGAAACTATTTGGCGATCTTCAGGAGCTATTTCGCGATCTTCAGAATCCATTTTGCGATCTTCAGGAGCTATTTCGCGATCTTCAGACACTATTTTGTTATCTTCAGAAACTATTTCTCGATCTTCAGAACTTATTTGCACGCTTCAGAAAGTATTCTTCGGAACTTTTACAATATTGCAGCCAAGTTGCATGAAGGAGCACTGGGTGGGTGGGTGGGTGGGTGGGTGGGTGGGTGGCTTATTGATGTACCTTGTGACGGCTACGGTATTGCGTGCAAGCTCTGCATGCATGAGTGAGCCGTGCCAAAAACCCAAGAAAGGGCCTTCGAGGAGGTTCACGCGGGTCATGGCCCGCGAAGCAGCTGATTACCGCGACCAGGTTTGATGTTGCTCTTCGTAGTTTCCGAACATTAGTTTCTGAAGACAACTGTAAAGTTTCCGAAGATTAGTTTCCGAAGATCACCTTTGAATTGTCGAAGATTAGTTTCTACAGAAAAGTTTCCGAAGAAAGCCGTAAAGTTTCCGAAGAAAACCGTTTAGTTTCCGAAGATTAGTTTCCGAAAAAAACCGTAAAGTTTCCAAAAGTTAGTTTTCGAAGAAAACCGTAAAGTTTCGAAGATCACCTTTTAGTTTCCGAATAGAACTTTGACCATCGGAAACTTGTAGAGGAATGATTGGACAACCGGACAAGGCTCAGCAATGGGGATGCGACCTCCGACCTAATAGCGATGGCCTCCAACCTAGAAGCGATGGCCTCCAACCTAGAAGCGGATGTGACCTGCACTGGGTACAAGTCATTTTGTTGATGCTTTTGTGTCCGCCAAGTTTGTACCTGCTGTGGTCTATGTGCCATTGGGTTTGGAGATGAGATTGGAGAAGCGGCCAGCAGTGCGCCGAACCAGTCTAACAAAGGCAAACGAGGAAAAGTAAAGAGCATTGGACTGTTTCCAACATATGGATTGACTTCCACAGTCAACGATCCTTAAATGGTTGAAGTTGAAATGACTAATTGATCTGATAATTGCTTCTCAAGCAATCAGCGGCTTCTTTTTTACTTGCTTCACGCTCATTTGGATTCTACCCACGATTTGGTTCAGCTTAGAGGTGTTGCATTTGCCTGGACACCTGGCTGGTGGCTTGCGGGACCGGCAATCTGATGAGCTTCAACGGAACATGTGAATGAGATTCCGGGACCCAGTCAATTTTGGTGTACTTCTTCCATGAAATCAGTTGGCAAGTTGAGATTTTGAGCAAGACTCTGATGTGTCTTCTACATTTCTAGACGGACTCACGCGAAGGCAAATCATTATGTTTTAATCTGATAAATCAGACTGGATTCTACAGTCTCCGGAGCAAACAAGAAACAGACAAGAGACAAGCATATTAGTCGGGCTTTCAAATTAATGAGAACACGAAAGCCTGGCTGGTTCATTGGCACAAATACCTCGCTTGAGCGAAAGCTTGACAGGATCCAGACGAGTCCTGCCGGCTGAATTCAGAGAGACCTCTCATCATGTGGTCTGGCACTTGCTTGTCGCGAAGGAAACGACTTCTCCACAAATGCACGACATGATCGAGCTGCAGGGAGTTTTTCTTGCCTCGTCTTCAAGCTTAAAGGTGTTTCTTCAGGTTCCATGAGCCTCTCGGCCCCACTTTGACTAAGAGCAACTACTTCACAGGTACTCTTCAAACAGAGCAAGACAGCTATTGAAACCAAAAGCGCCCGTTTGTTCAAAGCCAGGCAGAAGCTGTCGCTCGGTTTGGCGCAACGAGGCAAGGCTTGGTTCGTGCGAGGACACAGCTTGAGGACTGAGGTCGAGAATGTTACGCTGTTTGCCCGTCTTGGATGTCACCGTCTTACGAACAAAATTGAACAGACTTGTTTCTGCCAATATAACACCAATAATATAACACTAATAATGCATTTTTAGAGGTTTTTGAAATCTCCTGGGTTTAGGGTTTGAGTGAAAGCATTCCGTGGGTTGTAGCTCCGTGACGATTAGGGCTCGGGTTCTTTCAGGAGAACTGGGAGTCGTTGGGGCTACCTGCTTCCTTCAATGAATCCTTCGATCTTTTTCCCGAATGCATAGCGAAGGGTTCTCGTTTAACTCTGGGGGTCGGGGGGTAGAGCCTTGTTCGCGACCCGTTGTCTCAGCGTTCGCAACTGTTGTCAACCGTCCGCAACCGTCCGCCCCCGTCTGCGGTGGAGCGCTAAAGCGCTGCCATTGGTGGAAGCTTTTGGAGAGGGTTTAGCATGGAAGCGTGACAGGTTAGATTCGTGTGAAATAGCGAGGAATCGTGTGGAAACGTAAGATGTTGAAGTGTGGAGGAGGGGTTCACTGCGCAGGCGCAGCGTTTTATGAGATCCGTAGTTTGCTGCGTAGTCGCATTGGGATTAGCGTTTGGAGGGTGGTGTTTTGGGGTGTTGGATGCATGTGTCTGTGACATTGGGATTTGCGTTTCAGGGTGTTGCATCGAAGCTGTGTTTTCGTGACAAGTCATTAGCTGAATGGACGGGGGTGTGCTGCAAATTTGGTTGCAGCTCACATGATACGATACTGTCACTTTTCGTGGCAGGCGCAGTACTTTGTACGGGTTGTGCAGTAAGGAAGTGCAATTTTCGTGGCATGCACAGGGAATCTTGAGGTTGCGAGGTGTGGCGGAGGTGACATTCATGGCAGACGCAGTAGTTTGTGCGCCTTAGACGTGTGGACACGGAAAGTTTCGTGGCAGGCGCAGGGAATCGTGAGGTTGCGAGTTGTGGTGGAGGTGAATGTCGCTATGACATTGGGATTGGCGTGTGAGCGGGCTGGAATGGGGAAACTGCTTGTCAGGGCTGCTTGAGGCGTGTGCTCCGACGCGGCTTTTGGAGGAAGTCTCATAGAAAGTGCTCGTTTTGGAGACTTTGACTTGTGGGTTTTGGAGGAAGTCCTTTACGAAGTGCTTGTTTTGGAGACTTGACGCGCGATTTTTGGAGGAAGTCTTGTACGAAACGCTTGTTTTGTAGGCTCGACGCGTGACTTTTGGAGGAAGTCTCGGAGACTTGACGAGTGAATTTTGGAAGGTTTCGTGCGAAATGCTCGTTTTGGAGACTTGACGTGTGACGTCTCGTACGAAACGCTCGTTTTTGGAGACTTGAAGTGTGACGCTTGGAGGAAGTCTCGCGTGAAACGCTCGTTTTGCAGACTTCGAGGGTGAGTTTTTGAGGAAGTCTTGTGCGAAACGCTCGTTTTGGCAACTCAACAAGTGAATTTTGGGAGAAGTCTCGAACCAAGTGCTCGTTTTGCAGAATTGACTTGACGTGTGAATTTTGGCAGAAGATGGAAGAAGTCTCGCGCAAAGTGCTCGTTTTGGAGACGTGGTCCTACAAGAGTGTCCCTCCCACAAGAGTGTCCTACTAGAGTGTTTCGCAAGGGTGTCCCACAAGAGTGAGTGTCATACAAGGTGTCCCACAAGAGTGCAAAAGAGTGTGCCACAAAAGGAGACCTTGGAGGCTGCTAGGCTCCGAACGCAGGAAAGCTCACGCACTATTCATGTGGTTCCGAGATTTTCAGGGAAATTGAGACCAATTTATGAAGGGATTCTGAAGGATTCTGTTCCGGAAGTCTTTTTGACTCTTTAGATCTTTTTTTTTCGTTCCTTTTTCCGTTCCTCCTTTCTTTCTTTCCTTCTTTCTTTCTCAAAATGCTCAGAATACCTCTACTTCTTTAAACAGCCTTGCCTTTTCACTGCAGGCTATGTGGTCCTCAGCTTTGACCCAATCTCGCAGGTGCAGAAAGAGACACACACAGTTTGTGTCTCGTTCTGCAGTGAGCTTCTGCCAGGGAGAGCGTTTGCAGTATGGGCCGAAGGCCGTCACACTGGAGCGTTTGGCTTAGAACCGCTTCCAAGGAATTGCACACAAACTCTGGCCACAAATGCATGCTTTCTCAGTGCAGATTTCCTTTTCTGTGCCAACTTGAGCGTTAAAACTCCCAATGGCCACTGTAGCAGGAGCTTTACACTCCTTCGTTCAGTAGGGAGCATGCTAGTATACAATCCTCAATGTAATCATTGAGTCACTCACCCACTCGTATCAGCGGAAGGCACAAGGTGCTTGACACTACTCAGGTGCCGTGCTAGCAAGGAAGAGAAGGGCAGCGACTGGGGTGGTTGGGCCTCAGAGAGATATCAGTGGCCGTGAGGATCTTGTGCACCAGTAACATACTTTCAAGCAGACAGTAGATATACTGAGGATTTCGAATAGACTTTCGCTTTTGCTTGGGGCCCATCGTTTAGACGCTTCACCACACGTGCTTACTAGTGTGAGACCTCACAGTCCCGCGAAACATGCCCATTGTTGGCCATTGCCGTCGATCGTATTGGTTTGCGCTTTGGGATGGTGACAAACACGAAATAGTTGCCATACCTTTTTTCAATGCTATTTCACAAATATCGTGTTGTGTTTCTCATATTTATTGTATGCCATGGATGTTGCAAGGATCATTCACTGAGCACAAGACATTCTCGTGCTAAAGCCCGGTGCTGGGGCAGGTACATAGTACATACTGCTTGCATACTTTGTTTGTCTCAGTATCAGTATTGTTGCTTAGCTATTTCAAAGCCATTTGCAGAAATCACTGTCATCAAGGGCATGAAGCTCTGAATGCCGTGACTTTTCAAGGGGCTCAAGCGGGGGAATGACCAGCCGCGTAGCTCCATAGACTTCAAGTGACTTGCTTGCATACTCCTTGCATGCTCGTCTGGGCTGATAGCACTTCCCGGCAGTGATGGCTCCACAAGAAGTTCTTGCCAACAAAACGGTACTCGTAGGTTTTTGCAGCCTTTTGTCCAGCGAGTGCAGTTTCAAGAGAAGTCTTTGCAGTTCTTTTGCCAAGGTACTTCGTACTCTGACCAGTAGTTTACATGCGACTTGGTTCGGAATCACGAGCGCACTAATTGTCAGGTGTCTTGAGTTGTATAGTCCAAGGCGCCAGTCTTGACAGATCCCACGAGTGCTTTTAACACATCTGGAATTCAAACTCACACCACATTTTGTACACCAGGGGCTCCTGGCATCGCTACTAGGAGCAAGGACGCTACTAGGGCCTAGGGGCTCCTGGCCTTACTACTAGTAACAAGAAGCTACTAGGGGCTCCTGGCATCACTACTAGGAGCAAGGACGCTACTAGGTGGGGGTGGACGCTCAAGGACCCACACGTGTTTGAGCAGCAGCCTTGAATAGCCGAGGATAGACCTTCATATCTTGAAGCCTTTAGACGCCTTCCAGACGAAGAAAGGGGCCTTTTCGCTCATGCCGCTCGAATACAATCAACAGTCGCAATAGTTGGCAAAGGTGTGAAGCCTTACTCAGCCTTTCACATTTTCTTTGTCTTCTTTCGGACTTGTATACATGTGGAAGAGTCTGCAAGAATGCTTTCAAGCCTTCTGAGATTGACTTGTTGCTTTCAAACCTGCATGATGCCTGTGTAGAAGCGAAAGCAGGTTCGTCATCGTGGCGAGCGCTCTGCAAGCTGCTCAAGCGACATCACACCATCAGGCCAACGCTTGGGACGGACATGAAAGGCTCATCCGAAAATACATTGCTTCAGTTCGGCTCCGAAAGAAGTTCCACAGCCACTTTGGTCCTGCAGTAGTTGTACTAAAGCTGATTCGTCTCCCCAAACCGAAGTGACCTCGCTCTAAAGACTTCCATAGTGGCCCACAGTGGCTCTTCAATTAGCTTGTAAGGAGAAAAATGTCGCCAAGTGTATGTGTTTGAAAAGTAGTTCCAACTGTCAGAGCACAAGAAGACTTGGTGCAATATTTGCTTCCTCAAATTTGATGGCAAGGACTATGTCTCTCACATGGCCAGTATTTCGCGTGGCTGGGCCTTTATTTATCTGTGCCAGTTGCTCAAATAAAGCCTCTGTCTCTTGCTCAAAACAGGGACACTTTTCACTTTGTGTATGGAGGCAAGAAATACCGCACACAGCCAGCAAGCTAACAGGTGGCTTTGGGGGAAGTGGTTGAACCACAACAATCCCAGCACGTGATCTGAGCAGGTAGAAAGATGTGAGACTCCTCCTTAAAGGAGCGATGGCCTCCAACATCACTGCTTCTTTTTTGTTTTCTGATCCGTTGCGTCGGTTGCTTCAATCGTCGTTCCGAGCACAATGCAGTCCTGTCGTTAGCGCGAGTGAAATCAAGGCATGATGCGATCGGAGTCCAGACACGAAGTCCTTGATCCTGGAGAGGCACCGCGGCGCCTTTGGAGCGAAGCCCGGTGTGACAACGAAGCAACGTTGGGCTACCAATTTCCCAAACCAAGTCCACCAGGAGAACTCTCCTTCTGGTGCACAACCTTTTGTGCATGGTCTTCCTTCGCTTGTATTGGAAGAGCTTGAATTCCCATCGCAGGGTTCGCGAATGGTTGGTGCCTTGGGAGAGGTCGAGAACTTCTTAGAGTTGCTGAGCTGCAAGCAAGGCATCATGCTGACAGACACTAACCTCAAGAGGCATTGTGTGTAGTAGTTTTGGAAGCATTCGTTCTGACCTAGGCTCGAACATGTCCAGGCACTGGGAGGGTTCCGGCCGCTGACCTTTTTCAACCCTGGACTTTTGAACATGGAGCAGGGCACGCCCAAAAGTAAGACAGCTCAGAGTACATGAGCAATAGAATAGGATTTCACCGTGGTCAAGTCCAATGTTCAACTGCAATGCGAAGAGATGCTGCTTCTTCAAGGCCTAAATGTCATTTAGTTCTTTTTCAGACCAACACTCGCATGTGCTTGGGATGCTATCTTCTCCCTCCCTCCCTCCCCCCCTCTCTCTCTCTCTCTTGCTTGTTCTCTCCTTCCCATCGAAAGCGGATTTTGTGTGCACGCGAGGGGATCAACAAAGATGACAAGGACTGCGAGTGGGATGACTGGAGTGTCCGGAGCTTAGGTGGAAGTGATGACAAGCTGGCTCAACGGGGTCCTTCAGCCGGGCAACCAGTCCTTTTGCAACAACGCAAACACGTCGAAAGGAGCAGCTTAATTTAGAGAAGTTCCGAAGGGACTACAAATAGTCATCAACACACACGCACGAACATGTGGTGACAAAGTAGACCTTTTGCTTGTCCCACTGCTACTTTGGTACCAAGGATTGGAGCGTTTGCCAATTCACTTGCGGAGAAGGTGCGAACCAAATCAGCTATTCCGGATAATGGATTCGAGCAACCTCGTCCTGAAGTGCGTGACTCCTAGGCTTGAGTCGAGGAGCACTTCGAAACTGTTTACGATTTTGCCAGCTTTTGAAGAAAGTTTCTCCAGCACTCTACCAGATCCGTAAGTTTTTGCTTTGCCAGACAACTTTTGTTTCCGCTTGCTGCCGTTGTTCGCTGCTCTATATCCCTTTCACATCTCCAAGTCGCTGTTGTTCTCGAAGAATTCTTTTTCGAGGCATCTCGATGAGATACCGCAAGGTGCTCCACATGGCCCAAGGTTCAGGTGGGCATGACTGGACGGCAGGGTTTCATTATATATCATACCCTTTGTGTTCTCCACTGGGTCAACGAGACTAGGCCTGAGGCACAGGTCCTGTCGATTGTGGGTTCTGCTCAGACTTGAACAAGTCTGAAACTTTTGTCATTCAATTGAGGTCACCCCGTGTCATGTTACATGGTGCGTGTTTCCTCCAGGAAAAGCCTGTGGCAACAACAACAGGCCAGAAAATGGCTCCAGGTTCAGATGCGAGCAGCTGTCATGGTAGCATCCATTTCATTGCTTTTGCAGGAACATTACCACAATTGTTGAATTTTCAATCCCCCTTGCAAAAGACAGCATATCTCACTGCAAGAGCTAAATTCACCATCGTCAACTGCAGGGAAGAGCGAAATTGCACCAAAGCTGCATGTCCTGTGGACTGCAAGTGGAACGACTGGTCTGACTGGTGTAGACCTCAGTTTCTGTATAGTGTCTTGAGAGATGTACTTTTGTCTCTTTACTTGTTTTACTTCCCTTCCCATCATGAGATGGTTTGTTTTTGTGTCCTTTCGTTTGCTTTTGATTTGCATTGTTTTCATTTGTCCCAAGCAGGTTGAACTTGTTGCATGGACATGGGTAGCTGTTGCTCCTGTCTTCTCCAGAATTTTCTCCCTTGAATGCCTCTCTCCGCATTGACATTTGATGTTTGAAGCTGACGTTGGTGGTACTTTAAAGGAAGGACGATCCGATAGTCATGCGTGATGTTCCCTGGAGTCCTGGGAAATTCCAAGGACTGCGTGCTCAGCCACCTGTGGTAGTGCCTCGAGATACCAGCAACGAACCATGCAAGCTGCACAGCCTCTGGGTCTTCAAAGCAGTTTGTTGGTTTGGGCAGAAGCAAGCCAAAAGCTTCCAGGGTACATATTTTGCCGTGATGTGTGCAAAAGCAAGCAAATTTGCTGTCTGCTTAGGTTTGGTGGTCACAATTGCTCCGGATTACCTACGAAGTCTGAGGTGCCTTGTTCGGTGTGGTGATTTTGTTTAAGCCTATGTTTTGTGCATAGTATATTTGTATGCATATGCATTGGCGACTGGCGAGGCGTGTAATACATGATGTTTGGATTTATTCTGTCTATTAGGCACATGTTGTGAAGTTATTGACATGATGACAGGCCTCTAAAGTTTGTGCACACTAGACATGATGTTGGATCGAACAGCAACATTTCTCCAAGTTCAACTCACTGCTTTGCACTGCTCTGCTGCAGGACTGCAACTATGTTTTGTGTCCTGTTGACTGCGCCTTGGCTTGAAAGGCGATGGTAAGTTCTTGTTGCAGTAGCTTCTTGTACCAAAATAGGTTCAAGTTACATATATATATATATAGTTGGGGATGCTTGTTCATTGAGAAGGAGAAGCAAAGTCATCAGAGCAAATGTAGCTCCGCAGTCGTCATGTCATCCAATTCTTGGTTATGTGCGCAGCAGGTAATTTGTAAATGTACATGTACTTCTGGTGGTTGGCCTCTACTAGCGGTTACTGGCATTGTTTCTAGAGCAGCGTCTCAGGTGAGTGGAGTGACTGGAATGATTGGGGCGGTTGCTCTAAAAGCTGTGGTGGTGGTGGTGAGGCCGGGAAATAGAATGTAATGTACAGCAAGCTTTGTCAGAGGGCAGACGTTAACTCTTTGTGTGGGTCTACGTGTT